TCATCCTAGGGTGACCTCTCAGGGTTGACTCAGCCTTCCATCCTTCTGAGGTGGGTAAAATGAGGACCCAGATTGTTGGGGGCAATATGCTGACTCTCTGTAAACCGCTTAGAGAGGCCTGAAAGGCCTATGAAGCGGTATATAAGTCTACTGCTATTGCTATTGACTGGGCTGCTGTCTGTGCACTTCCTGCTCTCCTTTTGTATGGCTGATGGCAGGTAGTCCTCAACTTACAACATTTCTTTTAGTGACCGCTTGAAATTACAATGGTACTGGGGGGAAAAGTGACTTTGGACCATGTTTCACACTTATGACCAGTGGTGGGATTCAACTAATTTGGCAACTGGTTCTCTGCCTAATGACTGGCTGTGTGGGCGTGGCAATTGTGGGGGTAGCCAGGGGGTGTGACAGGCAGCACTCGGCCTTCTGCGCTCCCTTGGGAACAAAAATGGCCCCATGACCCTTTTTGGGCCAAGTAGGCCTCCCTTCAGTTACCTGAGAGCCAGAATGGGGTACATGAGGACTACTGGGAGGGGTGGGATGGGGTGGGGCCCACCGGTCATCAGAACTACCGGTTCACTGAACTGGACATAAAATTAACATCCGGTTCCTCAAACCGGCTGAATCCTACTCCTGCTTATGACTGTTTGCAGCATCCCCATGGTCACGTGTTCACAATTCAGAGCCTTGGCAACTGATTAATATTTACGACGGTTGCGGGGTCCCCATTTGTGAACCAGTAGTGAAGGCAAGTTGATTTTACCCCTGCTGTGCTTCGCTACAAAACCATGTCATTGGGCCAGTCCACAGGCTCTATGAGTGACAGGCTGGCCACGCCCATATGAGGCAACTGGCAGTTGGAAGAGAGTTCTTTTCAGGTTGGGAGGGGGAGTAGAACGTCTTAACTCCTGAGCATCGACGCGTGTTCATATAATAGTACATAAGAAATACTGATATACTGATGGTCATATAGAGATAGAGAGATATGGAAATAGAGATAGATATAGATGATACGGAGATGGAGATGGAGGTGGAGGTGGAGGTGGAGGTGGAGGTGGAGATGGAGGTGGAGGTGGAGGAGGAGATGGAGGTGGAGGAGGAGATGGAGGTGGAGATGATGGAGATGATGGAGATAGATAATACACTTTCATGTAACCTGTCTATCTGGCAGCTGGGAAGAGAATGTGTTTGTCTATGACCTGGTAAACAGCAGGGTGCCTGGGATACCCACGGACATCTGGATGGGACTGAATGATCTCAGGCAGGTAAGAAATCTCCATTTTTGTGGGGTCTTTGGTGCTCTCTGAGCTTGGTGGTTTTCTTGCAGACGTTTCATGACCAAACTAGATGATGTCATCAGTGCTAGAAGGGAGTGGGGTTTGCTCTCTGTTTATATACTCTGTGTATATAGAACAGCCCATTATATACTACTCTTGTTTCCCTGAAAATAAGACCTCCCAGGATAATAAGCCCAATGGGGCTTTTGAACTCATGCGCTAAAATAAGCCCTCCCCTGAAAATAAGCCCTCCCCGAAAATATTGCCACACAGCAGCAGCCATGAGGTGANGAAAATAAGACAGGGACTTATTTTCTTTTGACACCCCCCCCCCCGAAATAAGCACTTGGTCTTATTTTTTTGGGGGGGGGTGTTTCTTATTATTTTCGAGGTGCAGGAGGCGGTGAGTTTGATCACCTTATGGCTGCTGCTGTGTTGCAATGTTTTCGGGGAGGGGTTATTTTAGCACACGTGCTCAAAAGCCCAATTGGGCTTATTATCTGGGGGTGTCTTATTTTTTTGGGGGGGGGAACAGGGTAGCAGCTGGTGAAATTTTTAGAAACAGAAATAATTCCTTTGTACTAGGAATGTAGGGTGGCATCATCTTGACAGTATCAGACGGACTGTAGAAATAGGAATGGTGGTAATACATTCTCTGGAATCCTGCAAGTCCAACTGGAAAAAAGATTTTAAAAACTTTGGAACTTGGGTAAAATCTTTTGCCTCTTTCAGACATTAATTCCACTTTTATTTTTTTGGAGGGGGCGTAGCTGAGCAAAGGACGGACGGCGTCTATGCAGCAATCCGTGTGGCTGAGGCCAACGCTTCCATGGACCACGATTACAGAGCTCTCTATGACTACGAAGCCCAGGTAAGCATCAAACCCCCGCTTAGGACAGAGTAACTCTCAGGGATCATCATCCTACATTACTGTTCTTTTAATGACCCCATAATCCCTTGCGGGGTAGAGTCGGGGCAACTGAATGGAGCTGAGTATTTAGTGGCCGGATGCTCATCCTGTTGCCAATGCGGAGTTTTGTTCGGCAGATATATTCTCGTTGTGCCGAGAGAGAAAAATATTTCTAAGTTACTCTGAAGGTATCATCATTCTAAGTTAACCCAAAGACTCCAAATTAGCTTGATTTTTATATCAACTTACAACTATTCACTTAACGGCGGTTCTTAGTTATAACGGCCCGTAAAACAAGTGACTTAGGACTGGTTTTCACACTTGCAACCATTTTTCACACTTATGCAACATTCCCATGGTCACGTGAACAAAATTCAGGCACACTTGACAACTGACTCACGCTTACGACGTGTGCAGCGTCCCGGGGTCATGCGGTCCCCTCTTGTGACCTTCTGGCAAGCAAAGTCAGTGGGGAAGCCTGATTAACTCAACCACTGTGTTGCTAGCTTAACAACTGCAATGGTTTCACTTAACAACTGTGGCAAGGAAAGTCATAAAATGGGGCAAAACTAACTTAACTGTCTCCCTTAGCCATGGCAATTTTGAGTCCTAAATCAAGGAATATCTGCATGCTTATTCCATCTTAATTCCATCTTACGGGAAGAGATTCCCGCCACTCCCCAATTTCTTTCCATTATTCCTTTTCCAGAATGAGGATGAGCTGGACATGCAAGCGGGTGATATCGTCAACATCATTGAAGCGGGCGAAGACGGTTGGTGGACCGTAGAACTGGACGGGCAACAAGGATTTGTGCCGGGCTCCTATCTGGAGAAACTTTGACCGGAGGAAAACTTCCCAGTGCTACATTTTTAATTTTTTACCAACTAGAAACCTCTTTTTAAAAAAATAAATAAATAAAATAAAATCAAGTTTTACTCTTTGCAGATGGCAAAGAGCTACAATTATACTCTTTATTTTAACATAAACGCCACCCTGTCTTTTTATTTAGAGCCGAGGTGGCGCAGTGGTTAAGAGTGCAGTACTGCAGGCCACTTCAGCTTGACTGTTATCTGCAGTTCGGCGGTTCAA